TACTGTTTTGAATATTTAGACATTGTAAAATTCATGTGCAAATGACTGCCTTTAATTATTTAAAAATTGACATTTTTTGCAATTGATTTATAGTTATTGTTGTGAAATGTTTATTTGTGGATTGATGTCCCATAAATTGTGATAATTCCGTATTCTTGAATTTCTATAAGAGTTTTTCTATACATATTAAATTGGCAATTATGCTAGAATGCCTTTACAAACTGCTACCTTTCTAAATTTGAGCCCAAAATATTTGATTGGTATTTTTTAAATGTTATAGAGAGTGACTGTTATTAATGGTTTAAGTGAAATTCATATTAATGATTTCAGTGATATGTTGAGTAAATGATATTGCTGCTTTCGAATGTTTAAAGAGATTTAGAAATAATTTAAGTATGCAAGTGGACTCATCTGGTTCGCCGGTGAGGTATAAGTGGACCTGCAGGGATTAAGTGGACCTATCTGGGACGTCGATAGGGATTAAGTGGACCCATCAGGACGCTGATGGGGTATATAGGTGACCTACTTGGGACGCCAGTAGGGTATTTTGTGAAATCCTTTGAATTATGCACTGCCGTTAAAAGTGTTATAATCATTTCAATTACTTGGATTATACTTAATTATGCATTTATTGAAAGTTAAACTGTTGATGCATTTCTGTTAATAGATCTCATTTTGGAAAATATTGATATCTTTCAATCATGATTATTTTTAGGATTATGATGATCACTTACTGAGTAGCCAAACTCATCAAACTATGATAAACATTTTTCAGGATAACTGCGGTTTCATTTGAGTGCTCGTCAGGATCAACTTTGGGAAGATATTGAAGTTGTGCTTAAACTTTCTTTTGTTACTTTTTAAAAATTCGCCATTGTAAATTTGTCCTAAAATGAGATGTATATATATATTTTGACTGCTACATCTCAGGAATATCAGTATTGTAAATTCTTGGGGTGTGACAATAGGCCTAGGGTCGATAAGTGAAACTGAGTCATTGGGTGGGTCGTACTCCTCAATTGTAATAGGCACTACGCATTGGGTCACCCAATGGTAGTGTAACGCTATCTTGCCGGAAGGGCATATGAGAGGGTTGCGTCTTGCAAGGCCACTGCCTATCGAAAACCCCAAAATGCATTGGGGACATGTGTGTGTGTGAGGATATTACGAAGTGGGACACCCACTTGTCATTGACCTCCCTCCTGAACGAGGGTGGTAGAAGTTCCAAGGTACAGGATTGACTTGACCTGATAGATAAAACTTCTATTTCAGGAGTAGGCATGTTTAGCTTTTACTGTGTGAAAATATGGTATGTCAGCCTTACTGTTCTGTTTAAGATGGAATGATTCATAACTTATGCATTGTATATTCCTGATAATTGAATTGGGTTTATTCTTACACTGTTCAAGCATTGAAAGTCATAAGGAGAAAACTTTTCTTGATATCTATGTAAATTAGTAAGTGTTGTTAACTGTCATCACTATTTATAAAGTTGGAATGCGGTAGTGTATAGCTGCTTATTGGGCTGTTAGCTCATTCCATTTCATTCTCATGACTGTAGAGTGATAATCTTTGATCTGAAGAACGGAAAGCTGGCTTGCATGCCGGACGTGTGAAGCTTGGAGTTTGGAGAAAGGATTCTACATAAGCTTTTTATAGTAGGTGTTTGGTGGCTGTGCCACTGCAGTGTTTTATGAAACTATATATTTTGTGGCCCAGTAGTGCCTTGAACTAATTGTAAAAGCATTTATTGGATAATGGATGTTAATGGAAATGACTGTGTTTTTGGATTTATATATGTCTTATTGATTGGATTTTAATTTTCTCTGTGATTTGCTCTGGATTCCACCTTTATATGCGTTGAGCCACTCTCACTTGAGTGGTGTTTGCCATTTCATGTTGCAGTCCCACACTCTGTTGCCCTCCGGTATGTACGGTACGGGGCCAAGGGGCGGGGTCGTGACATTGACGGTCTAAATATGTGTTACAAGATGCACTATTTCCAACACGTGAAATTTATTTTGATGTCGAGGTGATCAATTTGAGCATCAAAACAACATCTTATAGTGAATTTTTTATGGTGGGTTCTAATTTGATCGTTTAAAGCCTCAACTCTCTATAAACTTTTCCCATAAGGGAATGGCATGTCTGTATGAGAGACTTGTAAACATGGAACATACTTGATATTTTATTTTTAATTGGGATTTTATACTATGGGATCATTTATCTTTAGAATAAGGTCACAACAAATCTTACCTATCAAATGTCAAATCAAAAAGCTTAGAGTATGTCACAAAATCTGAAAACCTTTTTTTTAACTTTAAGACAGATCAATGACACACTCCCAGCCTTTTGATTTCAAGTCTGATAGCCTGAAATAATTGTTACCTCCATACACAAAAAGTAAATGGTCTTATTATATATATTTCCTTTTTTAATTTTAATGGAACCTTGGTGAGGATGTAACTCTAGACGTTACGTTGCGACATTTCTTGAGGACTTTGAAATCTAAGACCATACTTCTCATCATAAACATTTTTTTCATAAGATTGCACCTTAAACATGAGAATCCATTATGATGTGTCTTAAGTGGAAAACTTTTAGAACATCATATGTAATTCTTCATTTGGGCCTCCTTGCATTGAGCTATGTTTTCAACTATCATTCATGTTAGTAGAAGATTGGGGACCATGTACAACAAGCATCCCCAACACAAAAAGGAGAAATCTATGAGCTTTCGTTTTGAGGGTGTTGTTATGGTTATTTTCAACAACACTATAAGTTTACAACTGTTGCAGCAACACTTGAGAATTAATCTCCAAAATATATGATTCACCTTTTAAATCCTTGTAGTATTTTATAATGTAGAGTGAGAAATGTGGCTATTTGTAGGAGGTAGAAGAGCTCATGGGAAGATTTGAGTTAATGAGAGATATTTAAAGAAGGCTTGTGAATTCCATACAACAACAATTGTACAATATGTAAGTTAGGCACTTTACTTGAGTTCACAAATCAAATTAACAAAATGGTTCACCCATTTATTAAACAACTATCTTTTATCTTTTTTTTTCTTTGGTAGTTTAGCAGGGCGGGGTCCCCTACCCGTGGTAGGCATGGACATTAAGACGTTTATGCAAAATAGTCATCATCATGATCAGTAACTCAACAATAATACATTAACAAATAATTTAGAATCATCGGTTGAGTATTTTTAAAATCAAAATTTACATTTTTTTAGGTACTTGGATAAATCTAACCATTACATTTAACCTCAAAGAAGTTATTTTCTAGGAATATGTGTATACATGTGTGTGTGTGGCGTCCATCATAAACAATCAAAGTAAGGCGTGCCTCCAAACTCCACTGGAAAATGTAGTTTCGATATTGAAAACTCTTACTATGGCTTGAAAAACTATTTATGTTCGTAAGTATGAAACTCGATGTTCTAAAAGTGACGCACGTCATCCCACTAAAATACCCAAAAAAAAAATTGTAACAAGGCACAGTATTTGTAAGTCATGTAATCTCCATAGGACTAATTGGAAGGGTTTCCAATATCAAAACATTTCAAAGTGTACATTTCTAAAGTATAAAATTGATACACGTATATTTAGCTATGGAAAAAGTTTATATAAGTATGAAGCTCTAAATAATCAAATTAAAGCACACTTCAAATTTCATTAGAAAATGTTATTTTGATTCTTCAAAACCCTCACTTAGATAATCTCGGCTTCAAAATGTTTGGACATGAGAAAAAATAGATTTCAAATATTAAAAATAATGCATATTGTAATGTATTATCTAGACCATCAATTTTAAAGATTTTCAATTATTCATATATCACCTCGATCTATGTTATTTTTTAATTTTAATTTATAATTAAAGATGAAAATATACTATCAAGCCATCACACAGATTTTTTATATGGAAACAACACATTTTAGTACCAGTGGAAGATATGCCCTACTTTGATTGTTTACCGCCTGGGCTTTATGTAAACCAAACCTTTTGTCACATCCCAAAATTTGGTATTCCAAACTCAGTCCTTATTTTACCCCGCGGAGCATATAATTTTGTTAAGAAATTTGGGCATAGGCATAAGGGTGAGGTTTGTATAAGTTGTCAACCTTATACTATTGAAGTATCGTGCAGTTTTGGTGCCATATAGCTTTGTGATGATATGAAATTCTATTGTTGCTCTCAATTATGAATTGAAATTTCTAAAAATGATGATTATCAAGCAGATCTATAAATAGTTGAAAATCTTGAAAATTGACAGTCTAGATAATATGATCGAAAATGAACTATTTTTAAGACTAAAAATCCATTTTCTCATGTTTATGAATATTAAAGTCAAGATGATCGATTTGAGGATTTTCCATCATGGGAATAACCTTCTCTAATGGGTTTTTTAGGTTCATCTTACTTGTACAATATAAGGTTGACACCTTATATCAATTTTTTCTTAGGCATAATAGTTAGATTTAAATTTATATAAAGTTGCAACTTTAAAATATAGAATTATAGATGAACTTAAAAAATCCATATGAAAAGGATGTTTTAATATTGAAAATTCATTTAATTGATCATCTCGACATCGAGATGTATGAATATGAAAAAAAAAAGATTTTTGAGTCCTAAAAGTAGTGCATCTTGCAATACATTATTTAGACCATCAATTTTCAATATTTTTCATATGTTTATAGATCTACTTGATTTTAATGAGTTTTAAATTTTATAAATAAATATAAAAATACATTTTGAGATAATCCTAAAAAATGTCTTCACCAAAATTACATGTTCCGGTAAAATTTGAAGGTGCACCGTAATTGGATTGTTTAAGCTTGCGACCTTATAAAAACCACACCCTTAAAAAGAATTGGAGGTACTTTAGGTATTCAGGAAAAATTATGTCACGTTCAATCGTTACAAAAAATGACAAGGGTATTTGTTGCCATTTGTGCACGCCAGGTCCTTTACTCTCTCCGTGTATATATTTTCCTTCTCGTTTTGGAGCAGCAAACGATCGGAAGAGCGCGTAAGCATTTGCAGGTAGAAAAAACTCTCACTTCTAATACTCAATTTAAATTCAGAAAGGGCGTCAAAAATTAAATTGTAATAAAAAATATATAATTATGATTATTTAATTCAATGGATTCCTTCAATGGTAATGATGTTTGCTTGATCCAAGAATATATTGATATTTTAGCTTTGAGAATCGAGAAATTCTATTTTATCTCTCATTGTTCTTTTAAATACAAGGAAAATCTGATTGCTGCAAATCTAACATGTTTTTGTTATCCAGGTGTGAGATATTGATCGATTTTCTGCAAATTTATTATCAATTTCTCGTTGAAGGAAATGTGAAGAATCCCCCTTTGTTGAGTTCCTCTCGATTACTGAAACGAGAGGATTTCGGTGCCTGAGAATGAATGCCAAACCAACTCCAATTACTCTCAAGATTGTTCTTCTTGGAGATGGTAAATCACTACCCATCTCTTAGTTTTCTAATTTGATTGGTCAACACTTAGCATTCAACGAAAAAAAAAATGGTGGGTGACTCTCTCTCTCGATTCCCCCCTTTTTGTTTTTTAATTGCTTCTGTAATTCTGAAGCAGACCTTGATATTTTATTATTGGAAAAACAGTCATGGCAGGAATTCAAACCAACAAATGCAAACATTCTAGACAATAGCTAGAGAAGGAAGTTAACCATGAAAGGAAAGCACCGTAGCTCTCAAAACTTGACTGGACCGCAAGGTCCAACTGCCAATCTTTGCCTTGGCCGATCCAATCCAAAGCAAAAACTTGGTTTGGTTAATAATTGGTCAAGACTGACGTTTGGCTATCTTGGCTGGTGAGATTGGGTGGTTTTGACTTGTCGGACCTGCTAAATAAAGTTGGGCTCTTTTGTTGTAATATATTTTATTCTTTCGAATTATTATTTCTATTTTTTATACATGTTTTGAAAATCCAGTCCAACAGGCAGTTTACTCGACTACATCCCTCATAGGTTCGGTGGCTGGTCCGATTTTATAGGTTCGGTGGCTGATCTGATTTTGGGAACACTAGAGAGCATAAAAGCTTTCAAATTTCATATCAATACTTCAGAATTCTGAAAGTTTTTTTTCTCCGTAAAACAACTATTGAAGCCATCAAGAAACCCTTCCAAATGTATAAACTAACACACTAAATATTTAAATCCCTAAATAAGCCCACAATAAAAGAGTCTCTAAAATAAGAAACAAATTTATTTCTAAGAACATAACATTTTCTCTAAAAGAAATCTAGATAAATTTAGCAATCATCTTAATTCCCAAAATTCATTGATTGCTATGTCTCCCCTTTCCCCTAATTGGCAGAGTTTCTGAGTTTCTTTGATACAGCATGATCCCCTCTGGGTTGGAAAGAATTTACTCCGACTGCTTGTTTTCTGTTAAGACGATGTAAAGCGTATTGAGCTTCTGTAACTCTTCATCAGAAATCCATGTGCTATCTGATGGTGGTCTTCTCTTTCATTTGATTGAGTGCTGTTGATATGAACCCTTGGGAGTTTTAGAGTATCCCTTCTTCAAAGTTTGCTCAATATGCTTTCTTTGTCAATTGCTTCAATGAATCGGCATGCTCTTCTGTCAGTCCTTGGGCTGGTCTCCATGAAATTCAAGGAAGTCAACAACACTGAATATTGGAGAAACATCTGAGGGACAAGTTAGTTCTATCTCATGTGCATTGTCACTGGTCTTCCATATAATGCTACAAGGACCAAACTTCTTTTGGTTGAGTTTGTTGTATGTCCCCATAAGAAATCATAGGACCAAACTTCTTTTGCTTGAGTTTGGTGTGTACTCTGTATGTCCCCATAGGGAACCTCTCCTTTTGTAGGAAACTCATAATAAGGTCTCCTTATCTGAAGACTTTAGTGCTTTGGTATTCATTGGCAGTCCCCTTATTGTTCGTAATTTCATATGCCCTTTTGACTCTTCTCCCTCTCTTGATCTTGAATGTAGTGAATGTGCTCATCGAAGGCGTCGGTATCATCACTTGCTATTGTATGGGCAATTTTACTTATTCTAGAACTTGCTTTGGAGCATGACCAATGGGCCTGCTAACAGAGTTGTATGCAAATTCAGCCTGTGGTGAAACTAGGTAGATTGAGATATCCCCTCTCGAATTATGCAAAGTAGAAAACAAGGCTTCTATTTGCCACTTTAGTTTGACTATTGGTTTGGGGATACAAGCACTCGGAAATTGTGATTTGATCCCCAACCTCTTCCATGAGATCCTCCAAAAGTGGAAATAAATTTTCCCACCATCAATAGACATAGTGAAGCCTTAAAAAAACCATTTTTTCCACTAGGAAAGAACATCTTTTTGAGGTTGGTGACACAGCTCTTTGTGCTCCTCTGGGCTTATCCTGTAGTGAGCTAGATCTGGCAAGCTTGACCTCGGTATAAAGTTACGGTGATGGGTTAGCCTCATAGGTGGCAACCCATTTCCCAATTCTTCTAGCACCAAGTCTTCATACTTCTTAAGCAAAGAAATTAAAGGCTTTGGAGTGGGCGTTGGATGTGCCTCTTCCTTTATGACTAGGGCAGAGTAACCCAGTTTTCTTGCTGTCCATAATAGACATAGGTGCAGTCAAGAGACTAAAAGTCTAGAACCATCCTCTTTAGAAGATTTGGGTCTATTGGTCTCTTCAGTATGCCAGAGAGTCACCATTTCCAAACCTTAGTGGAGGAGTAGGTGTTTCTCCTGCTTCTTTGAGTGATGTCACAATCATATTGCCATGTGCAAACAAGCAATATCTGGCGTGCATCCATAAGAATCACATCACACCATGCTTTATCCTTGCACCTGTTTCCAATGAAAAAAGAAATTAAGCATCTACCTCGCCTCCCTTTTTTGAACCATTGGATTTTGTAGGGCCATGGGTGCTTTGCTTTTCTGATTTGTTCTTGTCCACCGTCTCACGAGCTATAATATTCTGATTACTTCTTCAATGATAGGAGAGCAAACTTTGCTGCCAGAAATACATGTGGCTAGAAAGATGTTTTTGGGCAACCACTTTTCTTCATCAGTTGGCCTTGGTTTAGAGAGCATGCTCTCTGAATAATAAGAGTTTCCATCCCATCTCCTCCCAGGAACCCTCTTCCTCTTCCTTATCATGGACCCAATCATAGATAGTGTCACCCTCAAAGTCTTCCTCTTCTTCTATGCCGTCTTCATTAGATGGACATCTGATTGGTGCTTTGGACATTCATAAACGTGATGTCCACAAAGGTCTATTCAGAAGTTGATTGATTTTCCTTACCAAATAGTTCCCTCTCCATAGTTACCTCCCCCTTGTTAGGGTATTGTAGAAGCCAAGCCAAATAAATCCACTAGAGATCTACATAAATCAAACCAACATTGACAAAATATTTGCCAGAATAGCTGGAGAAGGAAAGCAACAATGAATGGAGAGCACAAAGCTTCCAATTTTCATATAAATGGTTCAAAAGCCCAAAAGTTTCCTCTCTTTTAAACAACTATTAAACCCTCACAAAACCCTACAACTCTACACAAAATCTTAGCCGCCATCCATTTATTCTAATCTCTATCATCAGTTCTAACCCTAACTTACTAAATATCTATTTCCCAAAATAAACGCACAGTAATAGTCTCTAAAAATAAGAAACATGTACTTTCTAGAACCTAACATTCGCTTCAGGAAATCTATGTAACATTAACCTTCCTAAACCCCTCAATGAGGATATCTCCACTTTTTTCCTCAATTGAGAAAGTCAGACTCTCTCTCTCTCTCTCACTGTGTGTGTGTGTGGAATCAATTTGATTACCATATATGTTTAGTTACGTTTGATTGCACATATATGTTACACTACATAAAAATTTAGGAGTTTCTTTTGGACAATATTGATGTTTCCTTAGATACCCTTATAGTTAAAAACAATCAGACCCTCCTCCTTTGTTTGAAATTTTGTATTGATAATATGCAGGTAGAGTTGGGAAGACATCACTTGTATTGCGTTATGTAAACAATGAGTTCTCAGAGAAGCAAGAAGCTACTATGCAGGCTTCATACTTGACAAAGCGCCTTGTTATCGAAGGTGTACCTATCACTCTAGCTATTTGGGTGCGTCTTTCTAAATCCTTTTTGGGGTTTATATAGGATCTCAATGGAATGAATTTATGCATTTGATATTTCATAGAAGTTTTTCTTTTTATGGGCCTACGTTGGGTACTTTTTTGTTTGAATTATGATCTGAACATCAATGAAATCAAAGAATTTCTTACTTCTTATAGTTTCCAAATTAAGTTATATGTGGATTGAATTGTACCTTTCTTTTATAAATAGCATACAATCACTTGATCATTTAGTTTGAATCTTGGTCTTTGATGGATTGAATTATGCATTCGATCATCTCGTACTCATAAAATTACTATTTTAGTGTGGAAGTTCAAGGTTGACATTATGCAGAATAAAACAGTGTATTTAATTCTAAGGTTGAAGTTGTGGATTATTCAAACTGAGGTCACATTGGTATGCATTTCCATTTTGCCTTAGGACTGATCTCTTTTCATTTCTTATGATTTCTTTGGACTGTATTTGGAGCTGAGAAAAGTTGTCAGGATTTAGTTTTGACATTGAAATAATATACTATGGGTCCTACAAACTCCTGAAGTAAATTATGACATATTTGGGTTTGGAGCAGTCTGATGTGAAGGTTTCGGGGTTTCTTTTTTCTCCTCTTGACATGGTTATATACTAAGGAATAGAATGTCTCCAATATTGGTTGTTTCCCATCAACCCCAATTTCCTCCTCTGACTTGCATCCTGATGGGAATGAACATGGCTAAGTTGAGGGTTTTGTAGGTATGAATGAATAAGCAAAGGAAACATGTTATGTGATGTATGATTCTAGAGTCAGCTAACCGAGTGAAATCACCTATATTAAATGTACTTCAAGTGCTGTGAGATAATGAACTTGGTAGTCTAGTAAGCTATGAGAAAAGTTGGCACTATTCATCAAAGAGCAATGGTCTTAATATTCAACACCTTTTTTCCAAGGAAGGATGTGTTGGGGACAGAGACATTGTGAAACAAGTCAGTTTTCCTTTTTGGGTAGATTAGTGGTAGAACTCGATCTTGGGTTGTACTGTTGCAATCACCGACACCTTAACCAATCAGCCCCAACGAAGGCTTAAACACTACTCAAAGATCATAAGAAACGCAAGGGAGATGGTGCCCTTGAGGAGCTTGTTGTAGGTGGATCAGTCAACCTGAGTTGTTTCACAGGCTCATGAAAAATTGGTTAATATGAATCCCAATTTCATTATTGTCATCACCCATCACAATGATGGTTGTGCGTCAGAACAGCTTGACCCCCCATGCCCAACAAAGCAAGTGGAGCAAAAAAAGTCCCTGTGGTTGTCACTTTTGTTGTATTATATTTAGCTTTAGCACTGGATGGAATGTATTTTTTGTCATTAGTTTCAATAACCTAAATAATTTTCATATGAGAGGCAGACAAATCATTGAGCAGAAAGTACAGTGTTACTAGGTGTCTGGGCCACTAAATGTTACGTAAGGTAGTGAGGGATAATCGACAGGAGGTCACAATGTGGGTCCATTGATTGATAGCAGTCTATACATAAAGCAGAAGATGATGAGGAGCAACCAAGTAAATGACTGTGGGTGATTCCTTTAATTTTGACATAAAAACCGTGAGGAATGTCTTTTTGTGTTGGTGAGATAAATAAGTCTCCCAATGAGGATACCATTTGATGGTAGCATCAATTGAAGGAGATCTATCATCTGATTTGTGCTTCACAATTTCATTGTTGTGTCATTGGTTTGGGACTCAGGAGTGACTTCTAGAACATTATTGGATTGGCCTGCTTATCCTCTTGGAGTTATATGTCATGTACTATCGACGAGATCATTTATAGGTCTTCTCATTAGGACTCGTTGAGAAGTGCTCTTTTTTTTTAATTATCATTTTTGAAAGGGGTGGGCAGTGAGGATGGATTTTATCCAATGAGACCCTAAATTTTTTATGTCAGTTTTTGGTTGCACGTCTCCATGCAGCCTGTTGCATAAATTTCTGAAATTCTAACAAAATTTGATTATTAGGAAAAAGATGATTGGCATAATGACTAAGAATCATGAGAAAATAGAATTCCTGCCGACTGTGTCTCATTGGGATTTGCATGATAATTTACAACTTGCCTCATTGTGGTTGCAATTGCACTAGTTGAGGCCTTCACTGAGAAAATATGTGTGTGCAAAGTGACAAAGTCCAAAGGAGGCTTGTTTGGATCATTTTGGTGAGGGCATGCTTTTTATTTTACTCTAAAATTTAAGAGTTTGATCACTCTCATCCGATACAAACCTGTGAAAGACCAGTGTTCATGTGTAACTTTGCACTATTTGTATGGAATTGAACCCTAAATGATCAGTGATACTGGAAAAACCATTTTATTAATTTCTAGTCATAGCCTAGGTCTGTCTTATTGAAGTATTTGGGTGTTTGAAAAGTTTTATGTTTTCTGGATGACCGTGCTTTTCTGCTCTTTGTTTTCTAATTACATAAAGTATCAATGGTTCCAGGGAAGCATTAATGTTTCATATTCTGAAACAAAAGAACAAAAAAAAACAATCTTATTTTCATCTATTCTTTCGAGAAATACTTTTTATGAAGCCACTAGAGCTTGCACTACTCTTTTTTTGTGTAAGAAGGTTAGAATATGGACCTTTTTGAGTTTTGATCATTATGAATGTGCTTTTTTATAATAGGACACAGCTGGACAAGAGAGGTTTCATGCTTTGGGCCCTATTTATTATCGTGATGCAGATGGTTCGTCTCAAACTTCAGTATAATTCCTTTTATTCATTTATATCCATGCAAGCTAGAATTTATAAACCAAAATAACATGACATTTCTATCCTAAAAGACTAATTTTGTTCTTATAATCCATCTGGTGTGGGGCAACAGCAGCTCTTCTGGTTTATGATATTACAGACAGTCACAGCTTCAATAGAGTCAGGAATTGGGTGAAGGAGCTCCAACAAATGGCATCTAAAAATATAATTCTGGCAATTGCTGCAAATAAAAGTGATCTGGTTCGCTCAAAGAAATATGACCTTCAAGAAGCTCAAAGGTAGGGAATATAACATGTTCCTCAGTTTATATAATTAAGTATGCAATTGCATGTTGAGTAGCAAATTTGTGTATGCAATGTGGTTTATGTCCTTTATATGATAGGTTTACCAGATTGACGCATTTTGATTTGGTACATGTATAGAAGACTGACCCTGGCTACATGAAATTCTTATCGATTATCACAACTTCAAGCCAGCTTATAAACTCTTCTTTTTTTTCGGGGCTCCTTTATTGGGGTTAGCCCCTTGATTGGATTGGTGGAAATTAATATGATTTTTTTATTTGAATTGACTTATTGGATAGAACATGAACTCTTAATTTAAGAAGCAAAAAATAAAAAAGAACAGAAAAATGAATCACAAAAATTATAAATACTCTGTAGCCAATAATAACTGCTTATGCTAATGTACACTTGTCCAAAAAAGAGAAGAAAGTAATTCGACTGAAGAGTTAGTCTGTTTTTCATTTTATAGTTATAATCGATTTGAGTTTCCCAAGTCAATTTCAGTTGACCCAATACCTGCTTCTGAAACATGTGCAAGTTCAGCTGGGCTGACATTTTCGAAAACTAGGGTGTCATGGCTTGACTTGCCCTGCTTTCTGGAACACACTACCTAAAAAAAGAAAAACGTTGGAAAGTTTACTTGCCTTTTTATGAGGAACTCATATAGTTTTCGCCATGTTCATTTCGTGATCCTTGAAGCTGTTTCCTTTTAGCTTCGTGCATGAGTTAACTGTGCTGATTACTTTAGAGGCTGTTGAATGTAGGGGCTTTTGTTTCATATTTGCATGTGATATGTGATTTTCATATAATTTGCTTCCGTACACCCCATCCTGTATATAGCGTGCTTTGGTCATTCTTTGTTTTTATATATAGTAACGATTCCTGGATCATATTATTCGAATTGCTTCATGCTTCATTTTCAGTATGCCTAGGTCCTTTCTCATGTGAGATCATGTAGGAATCTATACTTGGAAGATGCATTGAAGTCTAGACTTGTGGGGATCTATGTAAGACTCAATAGGAAGAATCAAACTGTTTTTTCTGTCTGTCTTACAATTTCTTATATTTATGTTTCTTGTAGCTTATGTTATATATATATATATATATATACACATATAGGTGGGCTAGGATTTAGGTCATCGGGCATGTTTTTCCCATTCTTTGACAAGCAGGAAACTTATTTCCTTGCTAGCATTTTAGCATATTTGGTACGATTAACATCATGATTTAATGATAAAGACTTCTCCCCTGTCAATATACACAATTACGCCTCTGACATGCGACCTAAGCCTTTTGGTATAGATCTTCCAATTTTGCACTTGGTTGTCTTTTTTGGTTGAACAATCACAACCTACTATGGTCTCATTGTTTCAACAGGTTGGGTTTTTATTTTGAAGGAAAAGGAGACTTATTAGGACCTGCCATGTCTTTCCTACAGCATATTTATGACATGCTACATTTCATCTCTTAGTTGGGAAAAAACTTGTTGGGCTTCAATACGCCTCTCGGTCACAAGGGGTTCTACTTCTATGTTTTTAGCAAGCATAAGCCTCTTACATCCTGTTGTAACTGAGAGGCCTATCAGAGCTTAACATAATTTGTTTTTGCTTAAAGATAAAGATGCGACTTATCATGAATGTAACCTTTTTTTTTTTTGAAACTGTTAACTGTATTGATATGAGGGTTGTACAAAAAATGAACCACCTGCAGAGCAGGTATTCAAGATTCAAACCCCTTATGGGGTACCATAAAATGCTTTACAAGCTATACAGAGTACAGTATTGAACCAAATGCATACTACGGGCCAAGCAGCTAGGAAGAAATGTAAGGAATGAGAGGTGTTGAAACTAGCATATTGGAAGATCGGTTAACTTTCTCAAAAAAAAAAAAGAAAAAAGAAAAAAGAAAAAAATCAATCGGCCGAAATAACTATGAACAGCCACGATATTATAGGTTTCTTCCTCTTGACTGAATCTATAAACCCCTTACGTTACTCATTTTCAGTGGTTTCTTTAATCAAAATAGAGGTTACCAAGGAACCATGCATAGCACTGAATAGGGAGCAGGAGCCGCCGAATACACCAGCTACGCCTACCATATGAAATGGGTGCATAAGGATGTTGTGCTCCGCCTGGAATACAATCATAAAGTTGAAAGTACCAGATATTCCTAGAGGCATATTATCTGAGAAATTTCCTTGACCAATAGGGTAAGTGTATACAGTGTTTTCTATTTAGTTGTCAGAAAGGTGGTCAAAAGTCTCCTGCAAGATCATCTGGGCGGCTCCGTCCTTAGTGAAGGGCATCAGCCTCCCTCCAGGTATGCCTCCAAACCACATGCTATCCCTGCACAAATGGAAGATCTCATAAAAAATGTGGGCCAACCTCCAAGGTCTCTGTGAGGATCCAAAGGCCCACACTATTACATTCTTTGAATCGCCGTCTACAATGAGCATGTCCATCCACGAAGTATTGAAGTTACGAAGGCCCATGAGTAGGGCAAGAACTTCGGCTACCTTAGAATTCATTGTCCTGGCAAAGATTGAGTAGGATAGAAGCGTGTCACCCCTGGCGTCTCTAAAGATACGGCCAAGACCTGCGGGGGCCTGGATTACCAAGGGGGCATCTGTCAAAATTGAGTTTAATAGTACCAGGCTCTGGCGGTCTCCAAAGGGAAGAGCGAGCAATGCGGGCTGTTCTTGTGTCGTTCTGAAATGCTTTTTGGGTTTGATATATATGCTTATTATTGTATGCCGAATGACTTGTCAGAAGCAGGCAAGTTTTTTTCTATAGGGAAGGCAGTCTATGATAAGCCCTTTGTTCCAAAATGTCGTTTAGCATCTGATAGGATATGCTTTCGTAAAAGTTGACTTGCAACTATTGTGGTTTTGTGTTTCTGAATTTTTTTTGAGAGAAGGTTTTGCGATTCTGAATTGTATGCGAAAATATAAAAAATTATATTCATTGTTTCAAAAAAACACCCCGCCCAGCACCTAGCAGTCGCTTGGGCATCCAGGAGGCCATGGACTGCCTCGCCTAGGCCTGGGGTAGGTGGCCGCCCAGTGCCCAGGAACTTGCATAAAAAGGGCAGAATTTATTGTTATTTTTTTTGTGGGGCCATTTTGGATCATATGGAAAGAGGGTATTCTAACCCGCCTCTCCCCAATGAAAAAAAACTCTCCCTATGCCCTAGAAACACCCAAAATTGATCGATTTTGTGATTTTTTTCTAAACAATAAAATTTTGAGGAGTTCGTAGAATCATCCGAAACCTTACCATCTTATTGCTATCAGTTTTAGGGTCCGAATTAGGTCTGTAGACGACTTTTGGAGGGTTTTGAGCTTGTTAGACGACCGAAACACTGAAGATAAGACATCCAAAGCATTCAATAATTAAAGATCTCTTTCTTTTCATTTGTCTAGCATCTTCTGTACAACATCATTTTGTTTTGGTCATTTGGTCTCATTGGAAACTTGGAGTCTATGAGTATGATTATGAAGTATGGACTATAGAGTGTGGTGTATGGACACAAAAACACTAATATGCTATGTACTTATTTTTTTATTTTATTTTTTTCACTATTTAGTTATTCAAAGAAGTAAAATTTTCAGTTATTTGAGCGCGTATTTTAACGTTAACACACATATATTGGTATCAAAAGTTAGTTAGAAAACATATAAATATACATATTTAACACATATATAGGCATATATGTGTGTCTGGACAGCACATATATGGATTATGTGTCTGTCTCATACTCTGAGTGCCCGAGGTTCTGGGCGGCTGCCTTAGGCAAACTAGACCCTAGAAACCGTCAACCC